TTTATTTACCTTTTGACTTACATGCTTGCCCATGAACGCAGTCTATCCAAGAATAAGTCTTGGCCAAGTGTTTACTTGCGTATATATATACATATAGACATTATACTCACGTGGATGCCTATTACATATTCTACATGTTTCGTATGCATGCACATATGTTACATGTGTGTCTGTGTGCATGTATGTGTGCGTGTGTGTGTGTGTGTGTGTGTGTGTGTGTGTGTGTGTGTGTGTGTGTGTGTGTGTGTGTGTGTGTGTGTGTGTGTGTGTGTGTGTGTGTGTGTGTGTGTGTTTGTACGTTGCATTTTTTAATAACCTATATTCTGCAACACGCACATCACACGTGTACACTGAAATAATTACAAAAGGACAGTCATTCTAACAAGCAAGCATAATTCCTAAGCCTATAATGCATCATCAACTTGTGGCCAATCCATCAAATCTATTGCGCATCACCTAAACCGGTTTTCCTTTCCTGAACCCCCAAAAACCAACCTCTGGCAACGGTTCTGGTTCCGGTGGTAATATCAAGAGAAGCCCGCCGGCCTGCGGGTTATTCTACGCGAACGCTCCATAGCTGCCGTTACGAAGGGGTCTGCTTGTCATATATATTCACCGAAATGTCAGGTAATAAAGATAGCAGTGTGTATGTATACGTGTATGTATATAAATATGTTTTTCTTTGTATATATATATATGTGTGTGTGCGTGTGTGTGTGTGTGTGTGCGTGTGTGTGTGTGTGTATGTGTATGTGTGTGTGTGTGTGTGTGTGTGTGTGTGTGTGTGTGTGTGTGTGTGTGTGTGTGTGTGTGTGTGTGTATGTGTTTCCCGCGTTAAAAAGGGCTAAATTTCCTGAGGCTGTGGTAAAGAAAGAAGTTATATAGGCTTTTCAGTCATGGTCAACATCACAAAATCGCCAGCAACTGTCGCAATACATGTAGAAGCAGCGGAATATAAATTATAGCCACTGAATTCACGCGGCCGTAAATTTCCCAGTCGTGAAACTTGTAAGACGTCGCTGTAATAATAACCTTTGTTGTATTTTCCGCGTTCCAGACCTGTCAGATCAATGTCATTTATCAGATCTGTATTGATACTGAGCAGCTTAGTAAATGACATCAGACAATAGATTCATATGGGCTCTAAATAAAAACAAAATAGGAATTATATTCGTACGTAGCCGATACGTTCAAAAATCTGAAGTGAAACATACGGTTCACGTTTTTTTTCTTTATCTTATGTTATTCAAATATTCATAACTGCAGTCTTAAGTCTTACGTGGTTGAATACGTACCTTGGCGATGTGCGCAGACCAACAGCGCAGCCAATAAATGTACAGGTAAGGTCTGTACTACTTGCCAAATATCTATTTCCTATTCCACAATTTAACCATAATTGGCCATTGCAATCCATCCATTCTTAAATATTAAAGACTTTTACTTATTACCGATATAACCAACATCATATAAACAACGAAACATATACGAGAATTTGATCTTTTTATAATAGTTACCCCCCAAAAATACACTATCTGGCAACAGCAGTGTCAGCCAAGCACAGGGTAGTCGGGGTTGAAACGGCTGTCACTGCACGAGCGCCTCTGACCATCACTGTTCGTAAGGATCTCTGGCTAGCTTGGAGCTTTTTCATAATGGCAGGTACGGAGGAACGGTGTGTTGTTAGCTATTATTGTAAGAGAAATATATTGGGGCAATTATAACCAAACGTATTAGGTTATATAACGAAAAATCTGATCGATTTATCCCATGGTCTTGCCTTACAAAAACAACCAATTTATCGCATGCACTTTACATCTGTATACAAACAATTCTTGTGAATATTTGACATTCAAATGCTTATGTGCGTGAACAAACGGGTGAGATGGACAGTTAATATTTTGTACTTATAAGAGCTTTTAACGTAAAAACGTTATATCGATGACGAAAGGTTTCAAGGTTGCTTATTTTCTGACATTGATTTTACATGTTGCGTAGTTTGATTAATTCATTGATGACGTAGATATATTTGCAGTGTGTGAGTGTGTGTGTGTGTGTGTGTGAGTGTGTGTGTGTGTGTGTGTGTGTGTGTGTGTGTGTGTGTGTGTGTGTGAGTGTGAGTGTGTGTGTGTGTGAGAGAGAGAGAGAGAGAGAGAGAGAGAGAGAGAGAGAGAGATAATGTTAATATGTACATACTTGTTTCTATTTGCTTCATCTAGTAGTGCATGTGTGGTTATGCACGTGAGGGAAACTGTATATATAATTGCTTATTTTCGTACCCACGGATAAGTGTGAGTAAAATAGTTGTCTATCAATCGATTAGAGATAAAAGAGAGACATTGCTTTGATTGCATTTCGTTATCACAGAACAAACGGTTATCAAAATATTTAAATGTTAGGCATATTTACTTCCACCAAAAAACACAGGTTTTCTTAGATTTCTCTGCCTTCTGACAAAATCGCATGGTTGGAAATAACTATTATTCCATGAAACCAAATGGTGCTTGCGCTTGCAGGATGAGGGAAGTTTCCGCCATGCAACGATTTGGCAAAAAAGCGCTGAGTCACCATGATTCTTGCAATCCAGCAGAGCGAGTAGGACCCGAAGAGTGCTTTTGTTCTTGCTTTGTCTTTACAATTTCCATTTTATTACTTGTAACCCTAATATTGAAAGGTACAATTTCCATTTTATTACTTGTTGATATTGGAAGGCTATTTTCCTTGATATTCCCCTATTGTATTTAATGAGTTTGAAGACAGCAACGGGTCTGGTAATGATAAAAATGGTGATAATGAACAAGGAAGTTATAATGTCGGATAAACTTTAACCTGGAATTTAGATTTTAAAAAAGCTCGTAATCCCTGGGTATGTTACTCCCTTCTTATCTCTTGCGATAAATTTATTAATTCTCGTACGCGATAAAGGCCCTGAAGCGGTATTTTTTTTCTTGTGCTTTGATTTATTTTCTTGTCACTTTATCTCTCCGTTTTGATTTCATTTTCTTTTCTTTTCGTCTTTATTATCATACGCCTCTTTTTCATCATTCGCTACAAGCTCCCTCTCTCCCTCTCCCCCCCTTGTCCTCCCTTTCCCTTCTTCCTCTTCTTTTCTTCTTCTCCGTCTATTTCTTCTTTATGACCTTCTCCGTCTTTTTCTTCTTTATGATCTCCGTTTGTTTCTTCTTCATCTTCTTCCTCTCCTCCGTCTGTTTCTTCGTCATCGTCTATTTCTTCTACTCCATCTATTTCTTCATCTTCTCCGCCTACTTTATGATCTTCTCCGCCTGTTTCTTCTGTTTCTTGATCTTCTCCGTTTCTTCTCAGTCTATTTCTTCTTCTGAGTCTATTACTTCATCTTCTCCCTCTGTTACTCTTCCTAATTCTTCTTCATCTTCGTCGTCCTCCTCCTTCTCCTCCTTTTTGTCCTCCTCCATCTCCTCTTCCTCCTCCTTTTCCTCCTCCGCCTCCATCTCCTCTTCTTCCTCCTCCTCCTCCTCCTCCTCCTCCTCCTCCTCCTCCTCCTCCTCCTCCTCCTCCTCCTCCTCCTCCTCCCTCTTCCTTCCATCCTTCACCACATCCTTCTTCCCCATACTTCTCCTCCCTCTTCCTTCCACCCTTCACCACATCCTCCTACCCCCCCTCCTTCTCTTCCCTCTTCATTAAAAGTATCTCCATGAACTCTCTGTCGCGGTATGAATGCAGGCCCAGCCACCTCTCACACTGTGTACAGAACTTGATAGAGGATAGAAGAGCCGACCTTTAATATATAGTGTAGTTGGATTTGGATTCAGTTTTATATAGTTATCCCTTACAGATATGTGTTCTTATCTGCGATGAATGCAGTGGGATTATTTGACAAGGAGGAAGATTTTTGGCAAATGTAATCCTGTGCCTTTTTTTCCCTCTTTTTCATATAACTTCTATGTATATAAGAAGGATATAAGTTCTTTACCGTTGGGACTTTTAATGCAGAATTCCAAGCTTCGTAGATCGAGTGAAAATAGACTGCTGTTGGGCGGTAGGTGAAGTCTAGGAAGGAAGGGTGCGTGTTAGTTAACGATTTGCATGCAGGTTCGTTTGTCAAGGACGGTTGTGTTTGCTGTATCGTCATGTCGACGGCTTTCGTAGTCTGGGGTGATAGTGACTATAATGCTTTTGTCTTCTTGTGCTTCCTTTGGAATATTAATGTTTCCTGATATTTTGGAAGGTTGTTTTTTTTTTAATTATCTTGCGTTCTTTTCGGTTTGGTACAATGTACGTGGTCTGAAAATCGTATATTTGACGCAGAGAATTATCGTTTTTTGATTATAGAATGTAGCTGAAGTAGAGAAATATCGAGGAAAAGTAAATGATAAGGACGAAAAGTCGAAATCAGACATAGAAAATAGGAGACAAAAGATGGATAGAGAGAGACACATGTTTCTATAAAATTAAAATGAGATTAGAATCCGAAAAACAAGGAAAATATAAAAGTTCAGTATGAAGTAATATTTTCAAAATCGACAATAAAATACTTATGACATACTTGGAGACCTGTCAGCTTAATTAACCCAAATACGATTTTTATAATATTAATCAACCCTTAAATTCATCATAACGCCCTTTTTTCACAGACTCCGACTTCAACTAGAAGCAATAAATCGAAAACAAAATTTCATAATCAATACTTTTAGATCTAATGACAAATACTAAGAGAACTATCAATTTAATTGGCCCATAACCTGAAAAAGGAAAATAATACCACCTCTTGCATTCCTCGTGACGTCTTTTTTTCTCACCCACAGACATCGACTTCAGTGAGCTCTCGGGCAACCTCTCCGAACATGTGGTTGTCGACGTGAGGAACCGGAATGAGGTCGAAGACAGCGGCCAGATCCCCGGCTCCCACTGCATCCCATGTGTGTACTGATACTAGAGAGCGTTACGGTTATGTTCAGTCCATTGGTTGATTTCCAGTGATTCGTGTGTAGTCCTATATCTATGTCGGATGGAAGGTTGAGGAATATAATGCTAAGACTGATCTTTTTGAAATCGTGATGTTATGCTACTAAAGCTAAGTTAGTATGTTATTAATGCATTGCCTAGTCATAGAGTCCAATAGAAAGTGCCAGTAAAACCCCAAACCTATAACGTTCCAGTGCCAGAGTTGGAAACCGCCATGGATCTGAGCGACGAGGATTTCGAGAGCAAGTACGGATTCAGCAAGCCCTCGACATCCACGTCCATCGTGACCCACTGCTTGAAGGGGGGGCGCGCCAGGAGGGCCGGGGATATCTTCAAGTCGAAAGGCTACCAGGCCAGGTAGGTTGGTTTCCAGTCAGTACATTTGCTCTAAAGGTCGTCGAGCTAGTGGAGATGGACTCCATTCGGTTAATTAAAATGTTGGAAGTGATACGTTCTTAGGTTTTCTTTCTCCTGTACCTGAATTGTTACTATCGTTTTGGCAGATACACGCTTTCTTACCTTAAATAAGTTATCTAATTAAGCATTATTTACCTCATTTTTATTGCCGTTGCTACTTTTATATATCGTCGTTATTACCCTTTCTTATCTGCTTTTCCAGGGTGTACGAAGGCTCATTCACCGACTGGAAGGCCAAGGGAGGCGACGTTGTTCCCGGAAAGCCTTGAGAAAAGCGGAGAAAAGGCCGTTCTCATAACACGAAGTAAACTAATTGAACATTTTAGAATAGCACGTTTGATACATTGGATTTTTATTACACGGTATTACTTTTGTAATTTTATTGATTTTGTTTGTAATAAATTCATAGGATTGCAGGTTCTTTAAAATTATTCATTCCTTTTGGAACTTGGTTCTAAATAAAAGATAATGCGTATCAATACATATACTGTATATCAGGGCTACTTAACTGGTGGTCCGTGTCCGAATCCGGACCTTCTGAGTGTTGTAGCGGGACCCATGGCTCCAGAAAGAGAAAAGTATAATTGAGTAAAATGAAGATACTGGCAATGAATCCTTGAAAGTGGATTTCCTCGGCTAACTGTAAAGCAAGTTGGCTACTTATGAGAACACTATGGAGTAATGGTTTTATTTCTAAGATAGCATGCAGATTAATCTGGACCTTTGCATGTATTGTCTAATCGGACCTTTACTCATAATAGTTGAGTAGCCCTGCTGTATATATACAAACGTAAATGAAACCTAGATTTACTTGTACATATATATAGAGAGAGAGGTTGGGGAGTTAGATTAGCATGCATATATACCGAGAGAAACATTAAAAAAGAGCCAGAACACAGACTTTGTAACGTTTTTCTATAAAGCTGATCAATGGGATTGTGCGACTGCAAAGGTTTGCACTAAAAACATTCCGCTATTTCATTTCCCCATTCTACTCTTATGTGCTCTATGGCGCCTAGTGCAACCGCCTCGCTTATTCTAGAAATTCTGACATTGCAAACAAAATAGTCAAACTAGCGAACTATAAATGCTATCTGGCATTGAATGGTTTCACTCACTTATGAATGCATTTACGCAACTGCATTTTCGGAGCATCGCTACAGTCTGCTGTGTGGTGCAGCGGTAGCGATCTCATCCAGCAATCTTGCTGACGTGCGTTCAAATCCCTCGCTGCCAGTGGATGGTAACCCCGGCCATTCCTTGCACACAGGGGATAACTTTGAAGTAAAATGAAACAGACAGTATATCACACCAAGAATATACATTGTAACAAATGGAATCAAACAAAACCTTTTTAAACCTTTAAACCTGCTCTTGTCATGTGAACGAGTAGCGTCAGGTGTGAATGTGAGAGCGAAAATGAGGGCATAGGTGAATGTGAAGCTGTGAGTGGGGCCATATTAAGTCTATATACTTCATAAGAAGATTGGAGTAATTTTCAATCACAGAAAGGATAAACAATCGTTGATCGAAATACACGATAAACATTTTATATTACCATTATTAAACACAACTATTGGGTGTGAATGTGAGCGTGGAGATACAGGTGATTGTGGGACTGACATAGGAGTCATTGCCAATCACATCGTGCTAATATGAGGAAATAGATGGAATAATTTTAAAATTTATTACCGAAATTGGTATTAATCATACTATATTTTGATCGCATTCGAAATATCCCTTCTCGAACATATCTTATTAGAATATTCTATCACGCCATATATGCATAAACATGGATAAACGATTATGCATTGGACACCCCCCATACACACATCTGAATATATACACATATATATAATGAAAGCATGTTCACGCTGTTTCCAAATACTACGTCCGCGACCTTCTAAACGTGATTCCCAAACGAATAAGCAAGAGAGAAAAAAGAAACAAATTATTTTTTTCGGATCCTTTGCCTGAAGAGGATTTTAGTCCCATTTGGAACGTCATGACTGCCTCCTTTAGTATTGTAACCAGGTTTCATTGCACCATCGTATGCATTTTACATTGTTTTATGTCCATAAGAGAGTAAGTTCGTTCTAGCTGTATGACCGGATGTTTTCAGATATCTGGCTCCGTCCTGAT